CTTATAACATCTACTGAATATTTAATATATTTGGCCATAAGTAGGGCTGTACTAAAAGGGAAATATACTTGATTAATGGTTTGTGAACAACCTTAAACCATACAGCCCCACTATATAACTATATATTATCCTCGTTTAAGGAGTTATTATGTGACAAGTATTACATGGGTGCGCCAAAACAATATAGGAGGTGTGTAGAGTAATACAAAACAGTAAAGAGAGTATAGCAAAGCTTGCAGAGCACTATAATCTTAATCCGAAGGCTATTGTAAAATGGAAAAAACGCTCATTTGTTATAGACGCTGCAATTGGCCCAAAACATGGAAAATCAAAGATGTCAACTCAAGGGGAAGAAGCAATAATTGTCACTTTTCGCAAGCATATACTTCTTCCTTTGGACAATTGCCTTTATTCTTTGCGGGCCATAATTCCTTGTTTAACTCGGTCTAGTTTGCATCATTGTTTGCAAAGACACGGCATTAGCATACTGTCAGATGTTGAAGGAGAGATAAAAGCCAAAAAGAAATTCAAGCTATGTCCAATCGGTTATTTCCATATTGATATCGCAGAAGTTATAACAGAAGAAGGGAAGTTACAGCTAAACTTGCTTATGTTAAACTGCATAATAACGCTATAAAACCAATAGCTACTGAGTTTTTGCGTAATTTAATCAAAATTACCCTATGAGAATTAAGAACGTCATAAACACGCTTTTTAGCGCATATTTGATAGAGTTTTCAAAAATGACATTGAACATCGTCTTACTAAAATCTGACATCCCTCGACAAGTGGCCAAGTTGAGCGTATGAATAGGATGCTAAAAGATGTTGTAGTTCAAGGGTATTACTCTACTAATCTCATTAGTAACTCAAAGAGCATCTTTATAGCTTCGTTATGGCCTACAATTAAGCTAAAAGACTCAAAGCTCTTAAGGAACTCACACCTCTTGAATTCGTATGTGATTAGTGGACAATATTTCCTGATTTATTTATACCCAATACTCGCCTTCATACTTTGGGAGGATGTATCTAATTCTTTGTCTTAATTTATTTTAATACTTCTTTAAGTAGATAGTCTCATAGCTTGAAGGGCTATAGTTTTTTACTTTCTTCATATGAGAAAAGCAAACCTTCTGTAGCGTAAGGTATAGTAAAAACTCTAAGTACTTTTCCATTTGTCAAGTGCAGCACATTGTTATACGATCCTATCAACTCCTTAAATAAAGTATATCTTTGTTTGCTTATATCTTGAAAATCCTCTTTTTTTAAAAGTTTTTTGGACTCAAAGAGGTAGAGCATAACTTCATGATAAGTTGGATGAGATGCCAAGAAATCTAAGTCAAACTGAAATGCCTTGGTGAAAGCATTATTATAAAATGTGAGCTTCTGATTTTTACTATATATTGCAATAGCAACTGGCAACGCTTCAAGTAAGTTTTTTTGTGTGGCTAAATAATCATTCAACTCAGTATGTAATTTCTCTGCATAGCTAACGTCCTGCCCATATACAACTACCTCATCTGAGTTTTGTATTGAAGCTTTCGCAAAAGCAAAAATTTTACGTTCACTCTTACATGTTATAACATGCTTCTCTGGTTTTGTATTATAAACATTACGGGTAATGGCTAATCTCTGTGAACTATTTATGTATTTATCATAAAACGAGTTATAAAATTTCACCTTTCGATGTTTATTATATTTGAGTATTGGATAAGGCAAAGAATCGAAAATATTCTTGTAATTTTCTACTTCTTGCACAAACTTTCTGTTTTCTAACTCAAGTTCATTAGCCCTTATCCTATAGTCTGAAACATTCCTTATCCAAAATAATGCACCTATTACATTGTTAGAATTATCTATTATGCTACGACCATAACACATGCAATAAACTTCACTGTCCTTTGCTTTTAAATCCAGAGTAAAAGATTTATTTATCTCTTTTGCTTCAGTAAAATTTTTCATTAAAATTTCTGATTGTTCAAAGAAATCTATAAATTCGTTGAACGAGTAAAAAACAGTATTGAGTGAAATTAATAAATTAGGGGAGAATTTTTCTATACGCTTCTTTGCATCCCAAATGTAAAATCCATCATCCATAGTATCAATCAAGTTATTAACTACAATATTTTGATGCTGTAGCTCATTAACTTTATTATCAATCTTCAATCTAGAATAAGAAAGAAAAAATAATATTAATATTAATATTAAAAATGCTTCATACGTAAAAAACATAGTACCTTTTAAGTAAGTTACTGCTACA